CAGGCTAGAACATTTAGCAAACTTTATTCAAGTTTCCAAGAGAGTAGAAGAAAATTAATAATTCACTAAATATAACTTAACAGTGGGAATTGGATATGGTTTCTCATAGAGTCCACTGGCCTGGGCAGCCCTCGTAGGATCTCTCTGCCAACCCTGGCCACCCACTGAGAGCAAAAGTCACCTCCCCTCTCCACACTCCATAACCAAATGACAATACCTTTAACACATACATCTACAGCATGTTCTCAGAGAGAAGGAGCCCTCTTTCCCTGCTATCTAAGGTCCATTTTCTAAGACCACAGTTCCTATCCTAGGATTTCCTTCTTTTGGGAAGGTTGATCTGATAAAGTCCCCTCCCTTCAAGGAGACTCCTCTAATCCATATGGATGTGGCCTTTCTGCATGACCTGAACAAGACAAGACATGATAGTCTAACTGTATGGAAAGTACACTGATTGTGGTGTGGGAGGGGAGGGGAGGAGGTTGAGAAGAACAGCGATCACTCCCAAAGATACTTTGCCCTCAATATGTACAAAATCAAACTCCATGTGTTCTTCTCCCCGCAAATATGCTCATCTTCTGCTTAGTCTTATCTTAAATAATGGTATCAGCAGCATCAAAGTCACCCAAGCCAGACTCCTGCGGGTCATTACGGTGCCTCCCACTCAGATTCCAATCTGTCCCCTTCCCAGCATCCATGCCTGGAGTCGGGCCCTCTCATCTCTACCCAGCCCAGGGCAATGTCCTCGCACTGATCTTCCTGCCTCCAGTTTCCCCACTGCCATCCACTCTTTATACTGCCGTCAGAGTGATCTTCCTGAAATCATAATCCAACCATATATGTAGGACTGTTGTCCTAGAGCCAGACTGCCTGGGTTCAAATCTGTACGAGTTTTGTGACCAGAAGCAAGTTGCTTAACCTCCCTGTGGCTCAGTGTCCTCATCAGTAAAATGAAGATAATAGTACCTACCTCAGGGTTGTTGCAGAGATTATGGTTGGCTGCTTCTAAAATGGCTCCCAACAATCCCACCTTCTGGTATCCGTGCCCTTGTGTAATCCCCTCTCATTGAGTGTGCTGGACCCAGTTACTAATTTCTAATAAATATAATACAGCAGAAGTGATGGGATGTCACCTCCAAGGTCAGGTTATAAAAAACTGTGTCTTCTGTCTTGCCACACTCTCCCTCTAGCCTCAGTTGCTTGCTCTGATGAAGCCAGCTGCCATGTTGTGAGCTGCCCCATGGAGAAGCCCGCATGGCAAGGAACTGAGGGTGGCCTCAGCCAAGGAGGAACTGAATCCTGCCAGCAACCACACGAGTGGGCTTGGGAGCAGATCCGTCCCTAGTTAATCCTTGAGATAAATCCAGCTCCAGACAACACCTTGATTACAGCTTTATGAGAGACCCTGAGCCAGGGGACCCAGCTAAGTTGTGCCTGAATTCCTAACTCACAAAAACTGTGAGGTAATAAATGTTGTTCCAAGCCACTGAATTTCGGATAATTTGTTGTGCAGCAATAGATAACAAATTAAATGAGTTAAGATTCAATAAAATAATATAGACAAAGGGCTTAGAACAATAAACATAGTCAAAGGTGCATATGGAAAGGTGCATAGTCAATAAACATTAGCTATCATCACCATCACAATCATCATTTCTTGTGTAGACACACTACTAGACTGAAAACTGAGAGGAGGGTCAATGTCTGTCTGTTCATCTACTGTATCCCAAGCTCCTAGCATTGCGCTAGGCTCTAAGTCTTTTAGCAACAGTAAATATTTGAGTCCTCCAGACTCTTACCTCCCAGGCTAGAAAAGGGCTGCTGGAATTGGAGGAGCAGTCTGAGTGCCCAGGCTCTCCCTCCAGCCAGAAGATGGGCCAAGTAAAGTGGTAAGTCCACAACAAGCTGGGATACAAGGTCCCTTGTAGTCTCACCTCCTCCTTGAGCCCAGGGTGTATGTTTCCCAGGAACGCAGTTATCACAGAGTTCTTGTGTCCTCATGACATCCCTGGAAGGCATAGAGGAGAAACAATGACACCTTCATCACCAACCTTCTCCCCTAACCTGCCGAACAGATGCTCCCTGTGTTGTGGACAGGGAGGGAAGAGGAGAGGGTGTGTTTTACTTGACTGGGTAATATCATTTCTCTTGACTGAAGAAATACATGCCAGAGGAGCTAAAAGTAGAAAATAGTTCTCACCCAAGAGATCTTTATTCTCTAGAGGCCAGGCCCCACTAACATGAAGAAGCTGTACATATCATCACTGTGCCAGTGACCCAATTACCCACCATTCCCCAAGATTTCTTCCATGTCTACATCACCCATCCCTGCTTTAAGACTCAGCTCAATTGTCTCTTCCTCTATAACACCTTCCCCAAAGTCCCAGGCAAACACAGGCACCTCTGCCCTCAGCTCCCGAGCTCCCTTGCTTAATGCCTCCACTGCAGCATGCTACATTCCAGGCCTTGGTGAATGCAGACCTGCAACTGCCTGGCTCCCCAAGCTGTGAACTAGCTCCTGGAGGGCAAGGACTGTGTCGTATTGCTTCTGAATCCCCATCTCATCAGAGCTGATAAAGTGGATGCCAGTGCTGAATGGATTACAGATGCTGTTGCATTCTAAATTCGGGAATGGCAGAAATAAATCTCTACCAGGGCAGCAAACCCCTTTCTTGCACAAGAATGTGGGGAAGAGAAGATAGGGGTTATGTGTGGTTTATACAGAAGGAAAGCTCTCTGAAATCTCTGTACTCCCCAGAGTCAGGAAATCAAGGAGGGCGCTGCACCGTAAGTCCGCAGAATTTGATCTGCTTTCATACGGAAACCACCTGCCTCCTCTGTGCATTCACTAGGACATTCCCTTCTTCTAAGCCAGTAGTTGTCAAAGTGTGATCCCCAAACCAGCAGCACCAGCATCATTTAAGACCTTATTAGTAATTCAAATTCTCGAATACTACTCCCAAGCCTAGTGGATCAGAAACTGTAGTGCTAGGCCCAGCAATCTCAGTTTTAATCAGCTCTCCATGTGATTCTGATGCACATTTATGTTTGAAAACCACCATTCTAAGTCTACTGAAACATGTGAAAATGACCTTAGAAATACAATCCAGATTGATTTAAGATTAAGATTAAAAGAGAACCCAGGACAATACTCCTTACCATAAAATGCCCAGGATCAATGAAACTCCCACTATTTTCCACAAAACAGTTCAATAGGCAATTAAATGAACTCAGCACATTTATTTTAAATGTGCAAAATGAATTTTCATATCCTAAAAGTAACACCAGATGTTTTACCTCTTTTTCCTAATTGATTTTCCAGCCTACAGCAATTCATTTTTGTATTTTCCAGTTGGATCCTAATGCAGCAAGAAGAGTGTGTTCCGGCAGGATTATTAAATGCCATGCATCTTAAAACAAGTATAACTCAGGCTGCCATGTGTCATCTGGGTGGTTGTCTCCCCAAAATATAAAAAACAGACAGCTATAGGTACCAGGCAAATTCAAACAGGATAGAAACCCAGAAAAGGCCCTTTTGGGGGTTGGGTCTGCAGGCTCTTGGCTGGTTGCAGAGCTGAGTCCTGGGCACTCAGCCCAAGCCTAAGCACTTCCCCCACAGAGTCCTGCCCTCCCTGGTACCAAAGGATTTGCTAGCTGTAAACCCTGCAAATAAACATTCAGTTTTTCAATGGGAAGTTTTGTCTTTAAAATGAAAAAAAAAAAGTAAACTGTGGGATGCAGGTGAGTTGGACCAAGGAAGGAGTGAGGCAGTTTTGCTCAAAGCAGCCAGCCTGGATGGACCCTGCCTTCGCTGTGCTCCTGGAGGAGCCCACACAATCCCCCTCTGTTGGCCAGCGCGCCGCCCAGCCAAGCAGGAGGCCCTGTTACTGCAGCCTTCAAGTGGGTGAAAGGTCACCATCGACCAGGTTTTCTTCATTCAACAAAAGCTCTTCAGAGTCTGGGGGAAAACGGGGAAACAGAAGCCTCAGCTTTGAAGCAAACAACTTTAAGAAAGATCTTCTCGGACTTTGTCCTGGGGGATGGGGGGACGAGAAGGTGACAGGTAAGTGCTAGAAACCTAGAAAAGAGCTGATTCAAAAAACAAAACCATACTTCTTAGGTAGTTAGGAGTGGTTGGCACCATCAGCCGCCTTCCCTAGAAGCTGCTGAGAGCTGGCAGGTCGAGCCATCAGGCCTGCAGCAGGATTTTAATGTGGTCTCCCAGTATAAATCAGCCTGGAAACCACCGCAGCAGGGCTGAATATCTGAAATTAGAGCTCGTCATGAATGAAACTCAAAATGTGGCTGCTCCAACTGTAAATAACAACCACTAAAATGTCCAGTGTTCTGTCCCTAATACAAGTACAGCCCTTCTCAGTACTTTGGCATTCTAGGTTCCTTATAGAAACACATTCAGGTGAAAGTTCGCTAAGAATCAGCTCCTTATTTGAACTCTCCCCCACTTCCACTCAGGAGCTCCAGCCCCAGAGATAACTACAATCTCATGGGGTACTGTGTAGCCCCTTGATGATCTGAAGGGAACCCAGTCACCAGCCTTCTTGAGGAACAGACTGGCCCCACACCAATGATTAGCAAAAAAATGGTACCAAAATTTAAAATGCACAAATAACTTTTCAAGTTTCAAAGAATAAGCAAATCCCCATAATAGTGTTAGACACAAGTGTTTTTAAGACACAAAATAAAATCAAGACTTTTGGCCTTACCTAACAAGACTGAGTGCACACTAGGTCAAAGGTTTTTGCACTGGGTATCCAGTTAACCTCCTCATTTTCCTCTAGGAATGTGACAGGAGCAACCTAGTCTCCCTCAGTCACCCAACCCCTCACGTACCCCCCACAAAGGGATTTCATCCTCATTTACTGCATTCAATATAAGGAAAATGGAATTGGTGGCAAGAAAGGATGTCACCTAGCCTAGAATTCTTCCTTTCTCCCAAATTCAGAAGGATATTTTTACACACTATTAAACCACAGGAGCCATTTTATAAATGTCATCATCATAGTCTTTTAATATTTTACATAAAAAACTGTATACACAGCTTATAGAACTTTTATGTAAACATCATAAGCTCACCACTTTGTCAATTGTCAGTTTATTTTAAAAATAAAAAACAAGACAACAATTTAGTAGAAGTACCACTGGGAGGGGGGAGGGCAGGGGGGAAAGGAAATAGGGGCAGGTTCATTCTCTGTACAGAGATGCAGAGAAAATTTCACATAACTTTAGAGACTGCCCTGTGAAAAAAAAAGTTCTAAACAGGCCCCAATACCTGTTACTGCCCTTTATCAAAACTGTGCATAACCTGCAAAAATAAAATTGCAAAACAGTGTTGCCACTTTTTTCTAGAAAACAAAGCAAAAGTTAGTGGGTTTGTTTTTGCCTCTCGTTTTTTAAGTCATCATTTAAAAAAAAAATCAGGAGTAGACGAGGTTACAGCGTACAAGTGTGGTCAGAATGCTACTGTCTTATGCAAATGACAAGTGCATTAAGTGTCAAACAATGAAACAATTGTGCAAAGAATTCTTTCAGGAAAAAAAAGTTTTAGCCTTTAAATAAATCAAATAACATCAGTTTCTTGGACTGAACAATTTTCACTTGTAGGACAGGCACAAAGTTCTCTTATGGCAAAAACCACCCCGCAGCACATCCTCCCTCCTCCCACCGCCTTGTGGCTGGTTGAGGGGGTTCGCAGGGGGCTGGCCCGCAGGAGACGCAGTGTCTGGAAGCTGTGTCCTCTCAGCCCCAAGTCAGTTGCAAATGTCCTCCCCAGGGATCAGAAAGATGGCCAAGTCCTGTTCATGTCTGGATGGGCACCTGACCCAGCCTGGGTCGGAGCTGTGATAGCGTGCCCTGGTCACTCCACCACCACCACCATTAAATAACACCATCTTAACCTCCGAAAATAAAATTATATCTATATTTATATAACACCCTCCCCCCATCCTCCCCAGCCCTCCCCTCCCGCAGTTCCCAGGGTCTATGTTACAGACAAGGGACAGCAGGCGCTCGCTGGTTAAGGGCGAGCATCTGACGGGGCGCGGCCGCACACAGGTGCCAAGCTCGCCCCCGGGGACCAGAGGAGGAGTGGGGTGTAAATGGGGCGGGGGAGATGAACAGACACACAGCCACACGCTCTGAGGCCTAGCTCTTCAGAAAAGGATGCTCAGGGGACCCTTGGCACTCAGTGGGACGCCCGGGCCTGTGCAACGCAGCCGGACGCACACAGACACTGGGAAAGGGGCGCTCGGTGCCCACGCCGATTCTCGACGCGACAGCCAGAGCCGCCAGCAGACGCCAGGCCGTCCGGTGGGGTCCTTGAGGGGCGCGGCTCTCCCCTTCTCCGGGCTTGTCGGGGACAGGCCCGGCAGGGGGAGCCGCGCCGGCAGGGGCAGGCGGGGCGGGCGCGGCCCTCATAGCACCTTGCAGCAGTTGATGCAGCCGTTCTGGGAGCCGTAGCGCTTCTGCAGCGCGGCGCGCGTGGCCGTCTCGAACACCTCGCGCACGCCCTCCTTGGTCTTGGCCGAGCACTCGAGGTAGTCGTAGGCTTGGATGCGCACGGCCATGGCGCGGCCGTCATCCGTGCGCACGGGTTCCTGCTTCATGCGGGCCAGCTCCGTGCGGACATGCTCGTCGCTGCGCAGGTCTTTCTTGTTGGCCACCAGGATGATGGGCACATTGGGGCAGAAGTGTTTCACCTCCGGCACCCACTTCTCGGGGATGTTCTCCAGCGAGTCCGGACTGTCCACCGAGAAGCACATGAGGATGACGTCGGTGTCCGGGTAGGAGAGCGGCCGCAGGCGGTCGTAGTCCTCCTGGCCCGCCGTGTCCCACAGCGCCAGCTCCACCTGCTTGCCGTCCACCTCGATGTCGGCCACATAGTTCTCGAAGACGGTGGGCACGTACACCTCGGGGAACTCGTCCTTACTGAACACGATCAGCAAGCACGTCTTGCCACACGCACCGTCGCCCACCACCACCAGCTTCTTGCGGATGGCCGCC